CCATTATAAACCATGATTAGTATATCATTAACATAAATTAAAATATAAATAAGAGCATCACCATGTTTATAAGTAAAAGGTGAATGATCCACGTGAGATAATCATTTGAACTAAGTTTGAGGGGTTTGTTTGATTTTATAAAATGTCTTATTGAATTTACACATATAATCAAGGAAATTAGGATCCTCAAAGCCATGAGGTTGTTCGATAAAGTCTTCTTTATCAATGAAGCCATGTGGAAAAGCACTAGAAACATTCAATTGGCATATGGGCTAACCAAACTGAATGGCAATGGCTAAAACAAGTCAAATTATGGCATGTGTGATAATGAAACTTAACATCTCTAAATAATCTTTTTCATGAACTTGTTCCAAGCCTTTGGTGACCACTCCTAGGACGATCAAGTCTCCTATTCTTTTTCTTTTTTGTTTTGTATACCCAATTAGAGTTAATGATATCGTGGTCACGAGGATAGGGATAAAAAGTTCAAGTGTTATTTTGAATTAACATGGCATGCTCATAATCAATGAAGCACAAGGAAGCTTTACTGGATAGAGAAAAAGAAGACGCTCTTGAAGATTTTAACACATGGAGTAGGGAAACCATCTTTGAAGTCTCCATCGCCATTTGAAAAACAATCGTCAACTATCAATACTTACTTTCGAGATCTTGAAGAAGTTCCAAGCTGAAGTTCTTGATGTTATTCCTTGAAAGTAAAAGGTGAAGGCACAATCTCGATAGATATTTAAGGTTAAAGATTTTACTTTGAATGAAGACTTTGCTATTATCCTGCACAACACAAATTAGAGAAGAGGCATGTTTTTTAGATGGGAGATGGGAGATGGGAATTTGCATATCCTGCACCGCAAGAAGTTATGAAAATTATTTTTTAAAATTCTAGTTATAAAAAAAAAAAACTACAATTCATAGTTTGGTTTTAATCTATCTTTTCATATAAAAACTATGCCAAACAACCACTCGGTTACAGCACTGCGATAAATTTGTTAAAACAAGAGAGAAGGTAGATAGAGAAGGTAGCTGCCACCCCTAAAATATCGTTCATGCTGCTGCTAGTCAAGTTGAGATGGTGCCTATCCTTCAGAAATTATAGCTTGGGAAAAGGTTTTTGGTTAAAATAAAAAGATGGTGGTGTTAAGGGCAAGGGCTAGATATCTTGTTTGCTAATGGAAGATGTTGCTAAGAAAGGATTTTGGGCGTAGAACACCCATTTAGGAATTGATACCAAAAAAGTTTTTGTGGACTTGGTTTCGAAAATTACCAAGATTACTTATGAGGATTATTTTTAAAATAATTGTTATGTATAAAATTACTAAACGTTTTATATGAATATTTTTAATTTTTAGTTTTATATGATACTGTTAAATTTTTAATTTTTAAAAATAAATTTAAAACTAAAGATAAAAAAAACATTTGCCAACGAGTATATGTACCTTTAAATCTTCTTGTTAAAGAGGGAAATTAATAAAGGTTGTAGATACAGAGATGTTGGTCAATAGATATATATATTTTCTCCTTGCTTTTACGCAGACATGTAGAAATAATATTTGAGTTAAAAAAAAAAAAAGAAGAAGATATTTTAACTATTCAAACAGTACCTTGTTGGAGCTGTTGAGATTGAGGATAATTGCTAAAATGACAGTTTTTTTATTTTGTCTTTCCATTTGTATCGTGCGATGGAGTTGCTCTCCAAGAAGGAAAGAAAATAATTACAATAAAAACTAGAATGGTCAAATAGTGGAATTCATTCTGCACGTCACAGAAGGATCTAAGAAAACTCTCCAATGGCTGCTGATTGTGCGGAACTGCCATCAAGGTGTTACATGTTGGTTTACTGCTTCGTTAACAGTTTCTTTCAAAATTGATGTCATGTTTTGTCAGCAGTAGCATTCAGTGGCAGGATTTAACACCATGACTGACGAAGACACATCGAGAACGACAGATTAATAGAAGTAATGCAAGGTGCAACCAAACTAAGAGAACATAGACATTAGAAGGACGAAATGCGCCTTCATCACACATGAACATGGCACAGATGGCTACTGCTTTGTTCTGTTTTGCTGCTGTCGCTGTCTGCCCATGTTAGTTTACTCACGTTAGCTTTCATCCATTCGTTCATGTTCTCTGGTATTAAAAAAGCACAGGGCAAGGTGGTGTTTTCTTCAATCAAGATATTAAATTGTTTTACTTTTTCACCTCTTGGCAGTTAATTAAGAGTGTTATTATTGATCCCAGCAACTCCTCCTCCTAGCTTCTTGTACAATATTCTCAAGCAATCATCAATGGGTTCCTGACATGTTTGAAACATTCGTATACGCAGAGATCATGAACTTGCAAAACATATAGCCTCAGTTTCTACAACTTAAATCATGATCCAAGCGCAGCCAATGAGAAGAAATTAAGTGAATTGTAGGTCTACATATTCTTTCGGCACTCATAATTCACTGGATATATATATATATAGTGTGAATGATTATCGTATCTCTGCCAATCATAATTATAACACAGGACCCCTCTTTTTATTGATAGAACAATTATTTTTGCTATAAGAATCTTGGAAATTCAAGGAAGGAATGAAATTACATGTTCTGCACGAAACATTCTGAAGAAAAATGGAATATATTTCTTAAGAACTACATATGACACGTGAATTAGCCTCAGCCATGATACATGAACTTCAGACAACTGATTTTTGTCACGAGATTAATTACCAAAAGAGAGGGAGAGGTAAGATTTACTTTATATATCATGATATCTTCATTGCCTTCAGTGAAACCCATCATAGTGAAGATGAAAAGAACGGTTGCTTGAGATCCAAACCTAATAATAATAATAATAATCTGGTGGAGGTGAGAGACAAAAGCTGTTGGGAACACATGACAAATCTTATTGATTATCTTTGACGGGATATGATGCAGTGGTTAATACATGACAAATCATGGGGCTAATTTAGTAAATATAATTATTATCAATCGACAATCAGCCAAGACACGTGAAAGAACCCTCTTGGAACCTTTGCTTCTCGAGGATGCGAGGAAGAGGAATCCCAACAAATATTGCAAGTATTTTGGTTATATATAATTAAGAGAGATTTAAATCTAATTAAGTATTTGTAATTATTATTTTATGATAAACCCTGGTGTATTAATTTAATCTCTTTAGTGTAGCATGAGTGTAATGATTTCCGGAAGAAATTAATACCTTGTTTATTTTTTATTTTTTTTTCCTTTTAAGAATGGATTTTGATGCAATCAATTTGTCCATTAATAAACTCTGAATATCTAATAAAGAGGAGAGGGGGCAATATATTAGAAGAAAAATCGAGTAGTTCTTGTGGGCTTTTTACCTGGCATGCATGTGGCCGTACGTATGCACTAACATGTTAAATATATTATGCTTGTCCATGGAAGTGCTTTTACAGACAAGCTTGCGTTGTACTAAGGTCAATGTTCAGAAAAGTTATTCATGTCCTAATTAATTCAATGGCGTGGATGTTTTTCAGATCTGGAATTCAACACCTCGCTTCAAGCTTTAAGAGGAGGTTATAATCTCTCCTCTTTCTAACTACACTTGAAAGGTGATGGTAATTAATTATTAATTCTTGAGATATCAACCAAAATAATAATTAGATTTTCTTTTTAAACTATTATTTTTGAGTTCCAATCATATAAAACAAGAGAAAATATAAGAAATAATCTTCACATAATATGAAATTGTAAGTGCTTATTTCATTGGAAAGGATTTAATCTCGTCGTGTAAAAATAACTTCAATGTAATTGATTATTTTTTAAAAAATGATGAGAGGCTGTTCTTAGTTTATGAAAATAGTTGGGAGGTCCATTAGCGCTTTGGCAGCAAAAGAAAATCCTTCCAGGTGCGATGTTTGGAACAGCAATATAGATGGATTTTTAAGGTGTTTCTATTGAAAAATATATCGAAATAATATTTTTTTTAATATTATCATATTAAAACGATTTACTTTTTAAAAAATCAATTTAAAATTAAAAAATTCAAGATTTTTTAAAACTAAGAGTAGGACCAGTGATTGTCTAGATAGTATATAAGATCTTGAGTTTAAATTTTAGTGGTAAGCATTTAGGTGAATTTTATTAAGTTTCTTAATACATCAGGCATATTTGAAACCTAATCTTAAAAGTGAGTTTTATATGAAAAGATATTATATTAGTGTTTTTTATATTATATGCTGATATAAAAAAATTAATCTAAATATATTATCTTAAACAAAAAAATATTTGTAAAAAATATCCTATACAAACTAATTTGAAAGGATTCCTCACCGTGGAATTAAATAGAAAGAGGAGGAGGAGACGGGTGGCTATACAAAGCGGTAGAGTGACGATATCCAAATTGGTTCAAAGAAGGCGGGTAAATAGCCCATCCAATCCTCAAGGTCCAGTATTATTAAGCCCAGACAACCTTTTTTAAGGCTCATCAACTTTGGAAATCCATTACCACTTAAACTTCGTTAGTGGGATTATTATTATTATTATTATTTGACATAATAAATGGAGGATTTGGTGTTTGCTCCGTGCATGAAACTCAATTTTCAGCTGTCACCGACATGACATTAGTGTTTAGAATTTTCGTAATTGATTGATTTTTAAAATATTTTAAAAAATATATATTAAAATAATATTGTTTTATTTTTAAGATTTTATTTTTTGCATCATCAAGCCAAAACGATTTAAAATTAATTTTGTAAAAAAATAAAATATTTTTAAAAAAAAAAACGCCCATCTCTTCTCTCCACACCAAGGGCATCCCCAGCTCTTTAATTAATTAATATATCAAAATACTCGTATCGTTGTTCTTTCTTTCTAAATATTTAAGATTATCTAAAGATTACATTTCAATTAACCACAATGAAATTAAACCCTTTCTTTGACGCATTACAAATATTGATATATGCATGTTGATATTTAAAAATAATTTTTTTAAAAAAAAAAAAAACTATTACGAGATAGTCAACTTTCTTATACTTTTCAATGGTTCCGACTCGTTGATCCATTAATTTATACACACTCGAAACCCCCGAAGACCCACCACTATTCAAAACCCAAGAAAGCTAGGGCATCCAATGAACGAAGAATAATCGTATCCTCTTTTTTCATAAAAAAACAAGGAGCATATGTGATGGGTGTCGTCGACCAGCAGCGCCTCCATAGCTGTCATGGCCCCAATGCCTGTAAGTTCCATTGACCTTCCTCTGACTAAATGACACTTGCAAGATATTCTAAATCCCACCCACGTCTTTTTTTACCTCTTCTCCTTCACTCCAAAGATTTCCATCCAAGAATCCAATCCCATATCTTTAAAAAAGAGCATGAATTAATTAATGATACCGACGAATTTTCATAATGGTTCTTTTCAATTTCTGTTCTACATTAACCTTTTTTGTTTGTTTACACAAGATTTGAAATCCCCAAGCCACTTGCATGTGGCCCCTCATTTCTTCTTTCAATTTTTTTTTTTTTTTTTTTACAGTCTATCAGCCCTTCTCCTTCTCCGACTCTTCTCAAAGACACCGTCACGGCCAGAGAGTCCGGGCCCTTTCGCTACCGTCTAAGACGGATCGTCATTCACCACGTGTCCATCATTGGCTTTTCAGCACTTCTCATGTTGAGTGAAACACGTGTCGCATTGCAGCACTCGCTGTGACGTCTTCCGGTAACGGAGTATGTGAGTGACGGTGCTCCCCCTCGTAAGTCACAATAAGCATGGCCGAGTCATCTACGGCACGCTCCACATGCTTCCTTGCTGGGCATCCTCTAACACTGCTACACTTGTAATACCCTCTACACAAGAAGAAAACGCAAACAATTATTATTTGACGATCATAGACTGGGTCAAAAAAGACATAAACATGATTAACGGCGGATGATTAAGGCATAAAATAAAATAATACCTTGGGTATGGTGAGCCCTTGATTGGCTTTTGACCATATTTTCTCCATGAGTACTCATCTGCTGGTATGTCGGCAATTTTGGAACTCACGGCAGGCACCCTTATTGTCCTCTTAACCCTTGATTTCCTAAAATCACAAAAACAAAATGAAATCAGAATTTTTAGATTCCATCCTTCAAAAATTCCTAATAATATTCTGAGCTTTGTTTGAAAAAACAAATTACTATGTCCTTCCGGTTCGTAATTATCATTTATTCCTTGGGTATATAATCGTTACCTTCTTTTGGAGCAATGACAGCTGCCACCGGAGGAGATCTTTCTGGCGGAGAGGGCATGATCTTGGCATTTCTTGCGGTGGGTCGATGAGAGAGGTGGTTTTCCGGTAGATCGCGCTTGAGTTCCGAAAAGAGAAGAGCCACCTTGTTTCCCATTAGAGACACTCCCATCAGCTGTAACAGAAGACACGAAGGATGAGGTAGTGGTGCCAGAGCTAAGGCTATCCTTTGAATACTGACTACCCAAAGACAGGTCATTCTTCGACTCAGCTTTAGGGGGGCTATTACTGTTAACAAAATCAAGGTTTAGTTTTTGAGGTTCTTGAGGGACAGGTCGGACGGGAACCGGGTAGGAAGAAGGAGAAGAAATTGGTCCGCGTCGAAAACGGGCATGACCGGTCCGGTTCAACATGGAGATGACTTGCTTGAACTTAGCGACGGTGAAGTTTGTGATTTCTCCGCAGTCAAGTTGGTGGCTTTGTCGAGTTCGGTTAGAGAGTGCAAGGATCAAGTGCTCCATGCTCTCAAGCCCAGCTGATGCAGCTTCGTGTATAGCCATCTGATCTTCCATCTTTGAATACCTAACTAGATCCACAGCCATGATGAAAGACGAAGAAGAAGAAGAACAAAACCCAGCACTTGAAGCTAAAGAGAGAGGACGAAGATGAGGGGGTGGTGTCTTGTTTTAGAGGAGGAGAAGATGGGAGATGAGAAGAGGTTTATAAAAGAGAAATGAAGGGATGCAAAGTCAACATGGAAATGTCAATCTAAGGGTGGAGAATGGTTAGACTTTTTGCATGAGAGAGAGGGGGACTTGTAAGAAAAGTCTGAAACGAAAGTGGCAGGTGGTGGGACCTAGCGGTGTAATAAAAAGAAAAGAAAGGTTAGGGGGAAATCGAGTGGTTTGATGGTGGTTGTCACGGTGGTGGAGGTAGCTTTTGATTTTTCCTAGACTGGGGGATAGTCAATGGTCATAGTGGGTGACAGACTATCCATGCACATGAGATAACACACACTTATTATTTTTTAATAATAAAAAAATAAATTTATTTAAACTTCAGTGCAAACACAGCCCAGACACTAGAAAACTGATCTAGAGACAGTAATATTTTATTTATTTTTAAAATTGGGTTGACAGATATTTGAGTTTTGGTGATGGCTAAAACATCTTTGAAGGCAAGCTGATGGAGTAGTGCTTATTAATTCATCTAATTTACAAATGAGAAATTATAAAGTCTCCTGGCTAGCTTGGACTTTTAATTATGGGTTTTAACAAGGTGAGTACTGGCTAGAACATCGTTGAAATCAATGTATATTAAATTATTTATATTCTTATAATTATAATGATCGCTAATTGCTTGTTTGGATTTTAAATTATAGTATAATTTTTTTACCCGTTAAATTTCGAGTAGTTTTGCCCCCTCTATTCATCCAATGTGTGACTTCATTTAATTTAATAAACTTATATTTTTTTAAAAAAAGAAAATTACCAGTTAATTTAACCGAGGTTATGTTTTTATTGTTATAAATTTCTTAAATATTTATAGCTTTAAATTATTTTTATATCCTAAAATTGAATTAAATTTTAAAAAATAAAAAAATTATTTTCATACATTTTAAAACTAAAAAAGCTCTCAAAAACAAAAATCCTTCAATTGTACTTGAAAAGAGAGGCACTATAGCATAAAAGTTTGTAATAAAAGTCAAAGAGCTACTGCTAATAATGCGTGGAAAAAGATGAACTATGTGATGATTTATGTTATGGTCAAAGACGTGCCTTTACCTTGCAACGAGGAATTTGATACTTTCTTGTCTGGATGTCAGCCTATCAGTTGAGAAGTTTCCTATGAACATTTGTTTTCTCTTTGTGCACATACTCATGTACGCGTTACAATCCAAACACTTTGTTTTCAGTTGTTGGATCTAACTACATATTTCAATACCAAACAATTTCTTTAATTAATATCTAAGCAGACAACGTTGTTTTTTTATTTTTTATCTCTCCCATTTATTTTTTATTTATCTCCCTCGTTTATTATAAATACTCGGTAATTATAGCTCGTGTGTGTTAATGGAGCTTTTAAATATAAACTTGTTGTTTAATTTGATTATTATTATTATTATGAAATAAATATTTTTTAACATATATGAAAATAAATGGATTGGATGTGATTTTTCCTTAATTGGAGAACCAACTTGTTGACTTTTTAAACTACAAAGACTAAATTATAATTCACTCCTTGATCAAGCAAGCAAACGGGGTATTAAGGTAAAGAGACAAAGACAAGTCCATGGACACCGAGCAAGCAAAGGGGGTAATAAGGCAAAGAGAGGATACTTTAGTGGTGGAGGGTGTCGGGGGAAGCCTAATTAATCCATGGAGGTTTTTGTTTGACTTTTTGTTTTTAATTAAAAAAAGAAGGGAGAAAATGAAAAGTAAAACTGTTGACCCACAATTCAGATTTTCAACTTGGGATAGCAGGTGGAATTTCCAGCCGTTGGATGGGTTTTTGTTAGATCCAACGAATGAAACTCTGCAATGGTTCAAGCAATAATGATTTCTGTTTAGGTCAGCGCTTGAAGGTTGAGTAATTTATTAGCAACACACGTGGCGAAGAGTTTCAACGCCTACCAGACCTCGCTGGAGATTGCGTCAATTTCTGCCATCCCCAACGTTTCAATATTCAAATGGCAAGGCAAGGCTCCTTAGGGCATGTATCGGGGCCCAAGGGACCAAACTCTGTAGCGTACAAAATTGACATGAACCAACCCTACAAGATTTTAGGGTTTGTTTTTAACAAAATTGTGGATAGGAGGAGCCTGGTGGCTCATGTTTTTTTTTTTATTCTGTGCTCAAAATGGAATGCCATGGCACTCAGGGAAGCTCTCCCACCGCATCCCATTTTTGTTGAATGTGATGCAGCGGCAGTTTTGTTTGCAATCAAGGATCCAAATCACAAAACTAGCTGATTGGGACTTCCCTCCCATTGTTGCAGATAACATTTCTTTGCTATCCTCTATGCCTAATGCCTGGATACCATACTACTCTTGTTAGCCAGGCCAATTGTTTTTGTTGAGAAAGGTAAAATTGTGATTTTATATTTAAATCTTTAGTAAAAATGAAAATAGAGATACTATAAATATAGCTATAATAATTCCTCTACCATCCTAGTTTCTTTTAATTAATACGTGGTAATGAAAGAAGCAACTATGGGGGTGGGAATTGTAAGAAAAGTGGATGAGAAACAGCTCACTAACTTAATTTAAATTTGTATAAGATCACTCGCATCCATATGAGAAAAGGATTTGATTCTCGAAGAAATGCTCAACTTGCAATGCGCCTTTCGTGCCACAACTAAATTTTTATTTTTTAAACAAATCCTTATTTAGTATTCGCTACTTGTGAAGAATGTTGGATCAGAGGTTGCGCCCACGTATTTTGTTTGATTATTATTATTACATCATGAATTATAAAATATACTAAAATGCTCGTTTCTGCTAAGATAACAGGGTGGCTAACTTGGTGCTGTCTTCTCTTCCATACAGTGTTTTCCAGATTTAAATCAGCACTCTTCTTAGTAATGAATTTGCTGCCTTGCATCATGGTAATTAATTCCCGCAGCTTGTGCTATTTATGAGATTGATAGATTTTCTCTAGTGGGAAACCATTCTAGATGGGTGAAGCTTGGAAAATATTGGTATCACATTCGACGTGCTCTGCTGTTTCTAATTCCTTGCATCCATGCCTCAGTTAACGAAGAACATTGTTGCCACTGCCTCGTGAGCATTCCTTTACCTTGTCCTGATCAGGCCGGAGTCGGTGTTTGTTTTGGACCTCAACAGGCAGCAATACTGCTAGATAACGGAAGGTGAGAGGTTGAGGTTAACGCCACTCTGCTATGCATTTGGAACTATTCTTGTATTTCTGCTCGAGCCTATGTTTTGTTACTTCAGGGCAAAGCTTTAAGCTCCCAGGGGATTGTGTTCATAATAATGAAAAAGACACAGGTCTACAATTAAGTTACAGCACCACATCTCCATTTTCGGGAACTTTTTAGCATTCGGGGCTCGGAGAAGGTACGTTGATGGGAATCGCGGGCGGCGTAGAGAGAGCTTCTCATAGAAAGAACTGAAAAAATCCATCATTGAATTTGGAGAACATTTGTTACAATATGAATTTTCAATCTTCAGATCAACAGTTTTGTTTCTACACAATTCAGTTCTTCCATTTTTGCCTCGCCAGTGGCTATTTGTTTTTTCTCCAGGCTGGACTGGTCTACCAAGATGCCTTCTAGCCCCTGTCCTCTATGGCTTTGTGCCATTCGTAATCTTGGACTTGATCCATTTTTGTACTGGAATTCTTTATGCGGTGGGGAAAAAAGTGCCTTCGCATGTAAGGCTGAAAGCAAACCCTTTTTCTTAGTTAAAAAACAACTACGGGAAGATTCATGAGATTTGTACGCCTAAAAACCTCGTTGGTAAGTGGGCTATGAGGATTTGTAAGGTTTTTCTTGCAGTTGATGATATCTAAGTTAGATAAATTAATATTAATATTTTATTAAAAATCACATTAATTTCATAATTATTATTCTTAAGCAAGACTTTTAATACAAAAATAACTATTTTATAATATAAATTAGTCATTATAAAACACATCCAACTAACAAAATTGGGTGTTAATTTTTTAAATATAAGTATTATTATTAAAAAAAAAATGCTTTTAGTGTCAACATAGTTCTTTTATAATACAAATTACTCGTTATAGAATACATCCAGTTAGCAAAATTGGTTGTTCAATTTTATTTTATTTAAATTTAAGCATCATTCTTAAACAAAACTTGTAATGTGAAAACAATTCTTTTATAAAATTAATCGCTATAAAAAAATATCCAATTAATAAAATTGGGTGTTCAAATATAAAAGTAATAAAAAAATAAAGTAACACACAAATTAATCATCTAGTATAATAGAAAAATAGAAGCAAAAATCCTTTTAGACTGAAAACTGTATAATCTATAAATAGTGTTCGGTTATCGTCACATGACAAAAAACAACAAAAGATTTCAGTTGTTTCTTCATTGCCTAGTTTTTCTGTCTATTCCACTGTTATTAAGAAATCATCCATGAAGAAAGATCATGCATGCCTAGTAAGGAGGAACACCGTCTAAAAGGGATTTCAATTTTCATACTTGAACGTCATGTTTGATCGACATCTTTATAATTCTTTCATCTTTCTAGGAACTGAGTTGCCTTCAGCTGTACATCAATTGGTATGCTGTCAAGCCCAGCATGCAGAAATCAAGTCAAAGGAAACTCGTAAATGAGAAAATGCAAGACCCAGAACATTCAGGTTAGTCAACCTTAGCTAGAAAACCCACATTCAATAGCATCAGTTAGGGTCCCGTCTTCACATGAAGATAGGTTGATGCATGGAAAGAAATACCTTCCTCTGTGAAGGGTTTTGACTTTATGCAAGAAGAGCTACCACGGAAATAAGAACCAGTAAACGGCTGGTACAGGTAAAAAGAATCAAAAACAAACTACAATAATCAAATCAAGATATTTGTGTAATTAACCAAACAACTTGCCTATATATACAATGTTGGTCCATTCTTAAGAGCAGCATCAGCACACAAAGCCCTTAGGATGGGTTACTTCAAATTTATGGTCAGCTGACTACTCTAGAAGTCCTCTAAAAATTTAAACAGAGAGCACCTTGATTTGAAACAAATTATAGATGAAGCAACACCTAAGTGAAAGAAAAAA